ATACTTGTTATTATTGCTATTTTTTTAAGAATACTTTGGATTCATCCTCTCAGCACTTTCAAATATAGTGCAGGATTTCCGGTTATGGAAATGTTGTATATGTTAGAACTCCACAACTCATTTAATTTGCTTAAGTGAGGCTATATACAGTTTGGCCAGCATCTTACATGTATCTAACTGCTGACTCCGGTCATTCTATATTACAGCAGAACTTCTTGTTCCTCTCCAACTGTGCCCATCAATCAACATTTCTCATTGCCCAGCCAACCTTCTCTCCTTCCTTTGTTGATAATCATTCTACTCTTTGTTTTTACTAAGTCAACTAACTCTTCCAGATTGCACATTATATTAGTGGGGTCACTCAGTACCTGATAGTGTCTGACTTTTTCACTAGCCAAAAAACGTCTCTGTCACAAATAACAGGATTCCAATTTTAAAATAATGGATAGTGCTTTATGCTATGTACATACCACATTTTCTTCTATTTATCAGTTGATGGGTATATATCCAAAGAAGTCATTGCATAAATCAATGTCAAAATAATTTTCATTATGTTTTTTTCAGAACATTTATTTGAATTAATTTTTGTAGATGATCTAAGGGTCCAATTTCATTCTCCAACATGTGGCTATCTGGTTTCTTCCCTTTATGCTTTGACATTTTTATGAAGGGTCATGATGGATTTAACTTTGGGCTTTCTACTCTATTTCACTGCCCTGTGCATCTCCTTTTACACTGTTATCACTGTATTTGTTTATTATACCTTTGTTGTTTATTTTGAAACCAGGCAATATGCTCTTTGGCATCCTAAAAGTGATGTTAGAAGACTATATCTGGGTTCATAGGATTGAGAGAAGTTTTTTAATTTTGTCTTTTCAGATTGTTCTGTGTTTTGATGTTTTAAATAACGATAGGTCACTTTACAATAATACCAAAGTATGTTTTTAAATAACAAAATAGAATATAGTAAAAAACGTTTAATGCCTAGCTAAGAAAACATACTGAAATCTTAAAGCAATTGTTTTTTATTAGACTGCTCTAGAGGTTGTTAAAATAATTTTTTGAGAAAAATTTTATTACTATCAATATGCTTAATGAAGAAAAGAAAGAGAATAGAAGATAGTTGAGTATTCACCTTGGAAAATCCAACAATAGCAACAACAAAGCAAAAACCAGAGGAAAAAAATTAAAGAAAATATTACTTAGGAAGAAAATCATTAGCTTATCTGCTGCATATAGAAATCAAGAGAATGGAGTTAAAATTGAGATTAGATATCTAAAACTGGGAAAACTGTGGATAAAACAAGCATGCAATGTATTCTTTGAAAGTTATATAAAGCTGTTTGCTAGAAGATTGGTAAAATGGGAGAAGATAGAAGATACAAAATAAAAAGAGGACATGGAAATAGCTAACAACACAGAAGCCAGTAGAAATTCAACACTCTTCACCTTATTCAGAGGTGAATCCAAGGGAGACATACAATTTATAACAGATATGGAAAATTTCCTGGAATAGTCCACCAAACCCACAACCAAAAGAGAAGCAAGAAAAGTGGTACCATGTGCTCTTAAAAGCACAGGGGAGTCAGCAGGGATGCTGCAGACAGCTGTGGGCTATCTTCATAAGAATATCGACTAAAATTTCATGTAGGCAGAATGGCCTTGTCATCATCACCCAACAGGGACAGAAATGAAACAATTCACATGCAGTTATGCGCAGTCATGTAAACATCTCGCTTTTGCCTATATGGAATTCAGTAGTACATGAAAGCAAACTGCAATCCAACAGGTAGGACTCATTCTAGACATGCAAGAAGGAAATAGAACTTGGCTCTGTAGACTTCTAGGGGTTCCTTTCATCAAACAAAAACCTCTTAGGTGATTTGGAAGAGGATGGAGGATTGAATACCACCTCTAAATTTGCTCCCCACCAATACCTTTTAAAAATTTACTCTGTATATATATATTTATGATAGAGCTCATAAATGCAAGGAAAAGAAGAGGACATTGGAGAGCATAACATTAGAGGTATAACATCTTGATGCTGTGAAACTGATAAAACAGAGTTAGAAACTAAATTCTGAGCTGGGTACTTAGATATCCAAGCCTTGATTCCATCCCTGCCTAGAGCTCTCAACAGGCTGAAGATTTAGATGTGCCCGATGATAACCTCCCACAGGAGAGAAAAGAACAGCAGTTAACATAAGGAAACTGTCAGTTATTTATCTACCCCTAAGCCCCTGTTTCTCAGTGGCTGGCATTCTACCTTGGCTTAGAGGAAGATTGGGTTTCAGACTGAAGGGACCACTGGCACAACACAGGGTATCTGGGTTTTCCAGGGAATGGCACAGCCTGAAGCCTTGTAATTCAGGTTGGTACCCATCTTTCTTTTCTCCAACTGCTTCTCAGAATATTATAGCCCAGCCTGTTTTATCTGCTGTAATTGTTCCTTTGGCCTTTAGCCTGGTGAGTTGGAAAGTTCCCAGTGAGCAATCTGACCAATCCAAAGAAGAGAACCCAAAAATTCTTGAGATTTTCATATTCTTGAGATTTTCATATTCTTGAGAATTTCATATTTTTGAGAATTTCATATTCTGGGCAGTGAACTAAAATGTCAGTGTGTGAGCTCAGGATCTGTAAGAAGCTCTGCACCAGACTCCAAAGACATCAACAGCCATTAGATACCCAGATATGTGAAGAGAACCTTCAATGCAAAACACAGCACAGCAAAATTAACAAAACCACTAAACCCGAAATTAAACAAAAATTTAGAGGAGCTATTGTCTAGGAGGAAAACTCCCTGCAAACACTAATATTTCCAGATGTCAATGAAACAAAGAGCTTCATAAAATCAAAACAAAGGACTCTTTAGAGAATAGAGTGAAGTCTTGGCAATTAAATGAAGAATAATATACATGATACAGTCTCAAGGTCTACCAGTCTGGTTTGTTTTGGTACCACAAGTCTCAGAGCCTGAAGAAGTGTCTCAGTGTTAAATATTGTAATCTGTCAATCATCTTTCCATCCCCTCACCTCCATATTGCCAATTGCCCAAGTCAGCTTGGCAGTAGTCAGCCTCCCAGGATTTGTCCATAGTGATCAAATTATGCCTTTTCCTTTTGCTTGGCTATCTAGACAAGCTGAGGACACCACCTGATAGCACAGAAGTGTGCAGAGCAGATTGGCCCACTCTTTAGGCCAGAGATTGACCACAATGAAGCAGATGTAGAAAACACACAGACCAGTGACCCTATTTGATTTCTGAGTCTTGTGGCTGCATGACTTCTCATGGATCTCAACTTGACTCCTGACATTCAGAGAACTGGTACTTTGCCTTCCAAGAAATCTAGTAGTCTGTAGACAACAGACTGCTAGGCCACCTTTTGCCAAGCTTCCTCAACTATCTACAGGGGCATTGCCCTGTTCTGACACAGATAAGTTTGCTCTTGATACTCAGTTTTCCATTAATTCTCTTTGACACTACATAATGCAATTGCTTGTTAACAAAGTAATAACTATGTCACTGAGAAATTAGTTAAAATTAGAATACATTTCAATTTAAATGATAGAATACTATAGTAGAGAAATTATACATGTTTCATTTAAGTTGCTTACAAGCATGAGTACTTTTGACAAGTACTGGCCAAATTAACCAACCAAAGAGAGAAAGAAAATGTGTACTAACTGGAAGAAAGGAGCCAGATTCATTACTGTTGGGTGAGTTGACACTTTAGGTAGTATTCCTAGATGTTCTAAAAGACTCAATTGACTCAGGAACGAATAAACAGCCACGTTCCTCTTGTAATTGACATATTTCATTTACTGGTTTAAAGATCTATCAAAGACTTAAAAATACATTGCTTAAAATGAAGGAAATGAACATAAAATATTAATTTTAATGTGTTGCAATTTGGGTTTACCTGCTAGCCAGATGGGATTTTGATCCATATGTATTATTTTATACTAAATTTGTTCCAAACACAAAAACCTAGCTCGTTACTTATGAAGCATAGTATAAAATATATCATTGAAGTTACAAGAAATACCATCTTCCTATATGATTCGATATTAATGCATTAAGTATTTACCATCGTCTCTCTTTGTTTGAGTCTGAGGTCAGAAAGATGAGAAAATAGGTTGCTTGTCATACACTAAATGTCTTAGAGGGTTTTCTTGTAGGAGAATCAATTTATCTTCTGACACAGAAGATTTCAGAAACATAAAAACTTTTATATGTATCCATAAATATTAGTCCTTTGTTTGTATGACTACATGTCATATACACATGTTGGCTCTTTCTAACCTTTGTTGATTGCTTGCTCCATTTGCATCATTCATGTTCTCATTTAGCTGCCTACTCCTTCAAGCTCTTGCCTTCATCCCTCTTCTATATTAACAATCCATGCTAATGAGGCCTTCTCTACAGCCAGCAGTTTGCTGAACTGCCAGGCTCAATCCAAGATGATCCAAAACAACAAGGCTTCAAATTGGTCATGGTCTTCATTCATTTTAGACACTTCTAACTGGCCCTTTATTTGTGCTCAGCTCATTTGGATAAACTAATACACCTGGAGCTTCTGTGCTTCTGCTCACAAATTAATTCCTTCCCATTGCTCTGGCAAAGTCTATACTTCATCAGTTGTGTTTCTGAGTTAAAAACTTCCACTGCGGCCTCCTATTTGCTGGACCTGGGCAGCCAGCTAAGGATAGTTCTCTTCTTCCCCATACATTTCTCCTCTAAGTCCTTTCAGGAGTGAAAAACAGCATCTTCAGGAGATATGTTGCTAGGCCCTGTTTTGCTTGCTGGAAGAGACTGGGGGCAGGGCAGAAAATATTATTCAAAGAGACAGCATATTCACTATGAAAACAAATATTTTGTGAGGGAGGCCTTGTAAGGACTACTCTTCTTGTTTTTGCAAGGTTCTAACACATCTCTCATAGGTAAGTCATGGTGTGCCTGACTTTCATACACTAACCTCTCCTGTGCCTTTTCTTCCTAGGGTATGGCCATCCCTCACAGGCCTGTCTCTCTCCATCCTTTATATCAATCTAAACTCTACCCTAAGACCCTGCTGCATCCACAGACCCTGTCTCATGCTGACTGTCTTACCCCAGGACCCTTCAGTCATTTGTCCTCCTTCTCACTGAGGGATGAACAGGAGAAATCCCCCACTTTCCTTAGTCAGGACACATACAATAAGGTGAGAATATTTTGCCCAAATTCGAATTGTTCTTTGCTATGAAACATTAGGGTACTTAGCTTCTAAAACCTATATATAGTGGCAAAGTCTAGATAAAAGCTCTAAATGCTTATTTTTTTAACATTTAAGTTTATTAGACTATTAAAACTAGGATTGAGTTGTATTACTTTAAGTAGGTAACAACCAACTTTGAGAAATGATAGACATGTGTTTTCTTTTAAGTCTATTCCTGCTCTATGTTCCTCATTATTTCATGATCTAACCCCAATATGGAAATGTAAAGGAAGTTTCTAGAACTCTATATGGTCATGTTATTAATTTATGTTCTAATCGTGTTTCAATATCTTTAAAAGTTTAATTAATTGCAATGGCTTGTTGAGGAAACATAGCTGCAGACAGTGAGCAAAGAAATACTCAAAATTACTTCAGGTATCTGTAAAATAATATTGATATTTTCTTATATAATATGCCCATTTGCATATATATATATATGTAAATCACAAAGTGTTCAGCAGCTGGGTGTATGTGTATATATGTGATGTGTTATATGTATCTTAACATGTTTATGATTGTCATTGGAGTGCATTCATGTGACTTGTTAGCAATACACAGCCCCACTGTGTGGCCTTTGATTAGGTGCCCTTTCCCATTTGAGTGTTTTCATAGCCACCTGGTTATCTAATACAGACTCCAAGACCCCCAAAATTCCCTAAAACAAAACTTGACCTTCAATTAAATGAATAATTTACATTTAAAAATCTTACTTAAAAGCATTTATCTAAAATTTGCCCATGGCCAATAAGATGCATCCCTGCCATTAAAAATAAAAACAAAGGCATCTCAGAGGAGATGGCAGGACAAAATTCCTTGGACCTTGAGATTTTATTCATTTTTAAAAGAAATAATGTAGCCTGGAAGTGGCTGTAGCTGGAATGTAGCCTGTAATTCCAGCACTTGGGAGGCAGAAGCAGGCAGATCTCTGTGAGTTCAAGGGCAGCCTGGTCTACTAGAGTGAGTTCCAGGACAGTCAGGTCTAGTGCCAAGACAGGCTCCAAAGCTACACAGACAAACTCTGTCTCAAAAAAAAGAAATAAAAAAGAAATAATATTGATAACATACATTAAACATAATCATCTGAAAAGTGGGCATGGGTGTATAAAGAAGAATTAGCTTTTTATATCTTATGTCAGCTATGATGAATAAACAATCAGTCTTAAACAACTTTCATAGGATCAATTTCCTACTAACAACATTTTATTGATTTTAGATGTGTCTTACTCTTGGTGTTTGATAAAAAGAAGTATGTACCATGGAAGGAAGAATCTTAAAACGATTTAATTTGAAATGCCTAAATTTGAAATGCCTATGAAAAAATAAGTTGTTATGAAAGTTATTTGTGATATAATATGTTACTATTATAAATTATCATGCATGATAGGTTATGGTTATATTTTATAGGTATCAATTATATTGAGCAGCTTCATCTTTTGATATCTTTATGGAACTAACTGTTCAACAATATAAGATCTAGCGTTGCATTCCTAGTTTAGCTTTGCTTATCCAGACTGTGAAAAACAATGAACAATTCAGGTATTGTAGACTTGCCTGTAGTAGCCAGTTAACAATGGAAGGGTCACTTGACTCTATGATGTTGGTATCAGCACAGGCCACATATGATGACCTATTTCAGAAGAGAAATTGGATAGGTAAAAGCTTATGAACTAGACAATCTTCATGAATAGATTTTGTCTTTCAAAGTCTAAAATTCATTTATATTGAACAAAACCCACTCATATCCAAAATACTAATAAAACTTATCTTGTAGTAAGACAGGATTTGTCAGAAGAAGATTTAATTGATTTGTCATATATTCCCATTTCTCCTATTAAAATGTATTAATTACTAAATTTTATGGATATGTTTAGAAATATGTCATAGTTGTGGGTTAATATTCCACTAATACCAATATTGCCTGGAGTTGTAAAACACAATCTGACATGTAAGTGAACTTTGTCCTAACATGCTAATGTTACTCTCAACTTTGACTTTACACCTTTGCCTACAGCCAAATCTTCCCACTCTTTCTTCTGAAGAACTACCTGGAAGTGCATGCTGAATTTGACTTGATTGTTCAGATTGCAGAGTTTCTCATCTACTAAGACTGCAGGCTTCAACAGGCCGTCCTTCTTTTGTTGAACTTGCAGTGCATTATTCTAAATTTTCACCAAACTCTGTATCTTAAACTCTGACCCTAGTCCCTTCCCTTTTTTTTTGCCTTCTAATTAGAGTCCATCATATGATGATTTCATCTTGTTTTGAACTGCTTATCCATCTTCCTTTATTTTTGGCTCTGATAAAAGGAAAGTCATACCTTTCAGTTCCTCCCATTATCATGAAAAACTATAAACTTGTGGGTAAGGGCATATTACTTCTGCTTAGACTATTTGAATTTATTACTTGATTCCACCCATTCCAGAAAGCGATACTTAGTGAGTAATTCATCCTCTGCATGCTTGATTCCTCATCTTTTTTCCCTGTTTTTTCTTCTTTCTTTTCCAACTTTTTTTTAATTTGAATTAGAAACAGGATTGTTTTACATGACAATCCCAGTTCTGTTCTCCCTCCTTTCCTCCCCTACCACCCCCCCCCAACTAAAATCCTATCTATCACATATCCTTTCTGCTCCCCCTGGATGGTGAAGCCTTCCATAGGGTGTCATCAGGGTCTATTGTATCCTTTGGGATAGGGCCTATGCCCACCCCCGTGTGTCTTGGCTCAGGGAGTGTTTCTCTATATGGAATGGGCTCCCAAAGTCCACACCTATGCTAGGGATAAGTACTGAACGTCTACAGGAGGTCCCGTAGATTTCTGAGGTTTCCTCACAGAAACCCGTGTTCCTGGGGTCTGGATCAGTCCCATGCTGGTATTCCAGTTATCAGTCTGGGGAGCAAGAGTTCCCTGATGTTCAGGTCACTTTCTTTCTTTCTTTCTTTCTTTCTTTCTTTCTCTCTCTCTCTCTCTCTCTCTCTCTCTCTCTCTCTCTCTTTCTTTCTTTCTTTCTTGTTTTTTCGAGATAGGGTTTCTCTGTGGCTTTAGAGGCTGTCCTGGAACTAGCTCTTGTAGACCAGGCTGGTCTCGAACTCACAGAGATCTGCCTGCTTCTGCCTCCTGAGTGCTGGGATTAAAGGCATGCGCCACCAACAACTCGGCATGGTCAGCTGTTTCTGTGGGTTTCACCAGCCTGGTCTGGACCCCTTTGCTCTTTACTCGTCCTTCTCTGCATCTGGGTTCCAGTTCAGTTCAGTGATTAGCTGTGAGTGTCTGCTTCTACTTCCACCAGCTGCTGGATCAAGGCTATAGGATGGCATATAAGTTAGTCATCAATCTCATTATCAGGGGAGTGCATTTAAGGTAGCCTCTCCTCTGTTGCTTAGATTGCTAGCTGGCATCATCTTTGTAGATCTTCACACATTTCCCTAGTGCCTGATTTCTCTGTAAACCAAAAATGTCTCCCTCTATTATGGTATCCCCATTCTTGTTATCATCTATTTTTCCCCTTACTCAACCTTTCTGCTCCCTCATGTCCTCTGCATCCCTCCTCTTCTCCCCTTCTCATTCTCCTAGCTCTCTACCCCCTCTTCCCCTGCTCCCAATTTGCTCAGGAGATCATGAGAATTATAACAGTATCCAGTTTATTAGAGCCTGTAAGAATCAGGACTAAAGTATATTAATATATAACAAAGGAGCGGAAACACAAAAAGAATCATGCAGATGCAGATGTTATATGACCAGACCTTTGAACTACCATTTTCCTTGCTCTCTTGTGTCTTCATTCATCTTTTCTTCACTGGCTGTTTCCTTGTAGTACAAAGGAAACTCAAACAAAAACACAACACAACACAACAACACAGGAACACTTGTCCACTTCTCTATCTATTCCCTTCATGATACTGTAAATCTAGCAATTTCCCTCCCTCCCTCCCTCCCTCCCTCCCTGTTCTTGTAAACATTCTGATTTTGCTCCTCCCACTGAACTGAAATTGTTCTAACAAAGACAATTTGGTTGGTGGTGAAAGCTCTCCAGGCCTCTGTCCCTTTTATCCCTCTGTAGTGATTGCTTCTCTTCATTGTGATGGAACCTTCATTGTGAAGGATTTTGTGTATACTAGGAATTTTTCTACCCCTTAGCTACACCCCAAGCCATTATTTTACTTTATTTTGAGAGAGTGTCTTGCTAAGTTGCTCAGTCTAGGTATTACCTTATGGTCCTCCTATTTTCTGCTTCCTGAGTAGCTGGGAGTATAATCTATAGGCATGATGTACAACGATACTGTCTAACGTCTACTTGTTGAAATTCAGGTATCTGGTCACTCATAGATTTTAGTAATTATCACAGTGTTGGTGGATATGAAACCCACATTTCCAATTCTTACTTCTGCACTGATATCGAGTTTCTCACCTCTAGCTGCTTGCTTATTACTCCCCTCCTGTGGTAGTTTGAATGACAATGTCTCCTGTAGGTGCAGATGCCTGAATACTTGGTCCTAGGTTTTGCCACTGTTTGGTTTAGGAGGTGTGGCATTGCTGCAGGAATCAGGTCACTGGTGTGGGCTTTGGGAATTCAAAGACTCCTACCATTCCAGTGTGCTCTCTGCTTCCTGCATGTGGTTCAAGGTATGGGCTCTCAGCCTGCAGCTCCAGTTGCTATTTCTGCCTGGTGCCACTCTTTCCAGCTGTGATGGTGGTGGACTCCTATCCCTCTGGAACTATAAACCCAAATAAACCCTTCCTTCTACAAGTTTCCTTGGTCATGGTTTGTATATTATTTATTTATTTGTTTGTTTAATCATAGCAGCAGAAATATAGCTTGGAAAATCAAATTGGCATTTCACACTCATGTATTTTATTGGAAACTAGTTTGTATGGATTTCCTTACTTCTGTCATTAATATCGTAATTCTGGAAGTCCTCAGACTGAAAGCTGGATTCATCTATCATAATCCATCTTTCTTTCACATTGCCTTTGTAGCTAGTAATTTCCCATTTAGAATGGGATCTTCTTTGGCTGTGCAGTAGCATTATTTTACACTGTTCTGCCTTGCCAGTCTACTTTATTTGAAATGATATACTCATTTTCCTCTAGGCATGCCATCAGCATCCCTTATAATTCCAGTTCCACACAGGCTCTCCTCTTATAAAATTATCTAGGTTTTCCCTTATGGGTATGAACATTTGTATATTTTGAGTCAGACCAATTATGCCTTCTTTTCAGTGAAGTTTCTTCATGCAGCATTTAAAGTGATCATTTCCCTTTTCAATCTCTACAATCCTTGTCTGTGCAAAGCACCTCCTGTGTCATTATAGATTGACATGTGTCTTTTTTGACCGTTTCTTGTTCATCTACAATGTGATACACTTTGACCTGTTTCCCATAGGATAGGCATGAAGTAAATGTGTGTTAATGATGAATAATCTCATCATAGTCTATTTACTTCACTGTGAACCTCAGATGCTAGAATAACCACTGTTATTTCTGTTTTAAGCAAATACTAAATCTGAATCAACTTACAGTCTGCCAATATGTTTAGGATTATTTTAGTAAACAGAAGACAACTCCTTTGTTAAAGGCTGCATCTACTTGCCAGCTCTTGGGATTCCTTAGTGCGAGAATAAACACAGACAAAGAAGTAGTGGTGTGGCCATTTGATTTTCTCTTGCTGTATGTAGATTCTGGAATATTCTGAGGAGGTTTCCCATTTTTTTTAGGGCATTGGACCAAAAGTGGTATGGTAACTTGCCTTGTCCTTCCAGTTTACCTGTGTGACATAGCCTCATAGGATTTCTGTCAGCTACTTCTCTGGCTCCAGAGCACCTTGTTATCTGTATACAGAAACAAGAAACTCTAAGGCTATCTCAGCGCCATCATCATACTTGCCCCACCTGTCCTTCATTCCTCTGTAACTGTGCTTTGGCCACTAGAAGCCACAAGTAAACTTCATTTGTATTTGAAAATTAAAACAAATGTTATTTTGTGTATACATGACATATGTGCGTTGGAGTGAGGGCTATGACATGAAAGTGGAAGTCAGAGGACAACTTTGTGATATTATTTCTCCCCTTCCTTCTTTATACAACTTTCAGGAGTCAAACTCAGGTGACTGGGCTTTAAACGAGCATCTCCCTTTATTCACAGGCTCAGCTCATCATCAACCTCTAAACTTTATGATAAGCAACCTCAAATACTGCCTGCCTTTTATTTGCTTTTCTAGTGGATTGTGGGCATGCTTCAAGGGAGAAAATCCATGTCATTAATGCACTTCTTATGGTTGATCTTCATAACTGGAGTTATGATCACCTCCAGGCTTGTCTGAGTGTATTGAGAGATTATTGCCTGAGGATGTAGGACCCACCCTTAATATGGTCACATGGGCAATAGTGCCACCCCATGGGCTGGAGTCCGTGACTAAATACAAAGGAAAATGGGACAGTCAGTCAAACTGCTGTATTCCTTTACCGGCTTCCTGATCTGCATCATGATCTAAGCTGTTCCTATTGTGTCTTCCTTGCAATGGTGAGCCAAAATGAACCTTTCCCCCCTGTAAATGTGACTTGTTAGATATTTGGTCATAGCAATGAGAAAAGTCACTGGTGCACATGTGTGCCTAGCTGATGAGCAAGGCAGTCAGTGTTCTGCTTCCTCTCACATACCATGCTGGGATATTCCTTCTCGTGATTGGTCCAGTCAGTTTATTTTATACCTTTTATACTACAATTCATGATTTTACTATTTAAAATGGGCCCTAAATCTGGTGTTGGGTTCTTACATAAATAGGCAAAATAGCTGAGTTAACCTTTTCTTTATCATGAATTAGAATGCTGTTAGCTGGGAATTTATTGTCAGTGTATCAGGAATATATAATTTTTAAGAAACAGGAACACATATAACAAGTTATTTGTTGATTGGTCAATACATATGTGAATAGAGATAATTGATTGTCTATTTGTTTCAATTTTACAGAAAGGGTATTCACGTATGAGAAATTACTTGGGGAATAAATTCCAAACAGGTTAAAGAAATGGGTAACATGACATTAAGGCATCCGTGAAGGTTATGTTGGCAAACAAGTTATCATTGTGGAGAAACTCTAGACGACAAACAA